TATCGGCACTAGGAACGATATATATGCTGCCACTGATCTAAATGTTTAGTATCCTATAAAAAAACATTTACAATAACACAATTGGGGCCAAAAAAAAAACAGTAGCAATTCTTTATCTAACATTAAAACTCTATAAAAAAAAATTTTCTTTTCTAGTAAGTTAAATTTAATGCATAATTATAACTGTAAAATTTTATAATATAGAAACTTGTAATAAAATAAACTACACTTCGTAAGATACATATTGTGACTAGTTTACAATAAATATTATATTTAGACATGAATACATTATTGTACTTACATTAGAAGCTTTAAAAAGACATTGAATTGATTTTTTCTTGTGTTTTATTTAGTTTTACATTTGATTTTTATCCTGTTTTACAATCTGGAACGACGTAAATCTTGCTTTGATGTTTTTTGTCACTCATGTTATTTGTACTCAGGTACTTTTTTTTCACATTATTTTGTTTCTTTTCACCAATTTTTTAAAAAATCACTTTTTTTACATTGACTTTGACTCCGCTGTCATTAGACATGCCAACTACAGTCAATTTCGCGAACTTTATAAAAAAGGACGGAAAAACTCATTGACAATCAACAATAACAAAAAGGCATCGAACACTATAAAGTCCTCCTCAGATGCTTCGACTATGTTCAAAATTTAATCAGCTCTCTACAGAATGGATTAAAGCTTATGTTTAAAATTTGGTGGTTTTCTTTTTATCACTTTCTTCAAAATTCGAAATTTGCACTTTTCCTCAAATATCTCGAATACGGTTAATTTTAGGGAAATTGTAGAGAATTTTTCTAAACATTCAAACTTTGTACATTTTGTCAAATTTTTCAATTACGGACCTTACATTATCGCGTAAATAAAATGGATTCAGGGGACCCCAAAACATAAAAATTCGTCGAAAACTCGAGGTCGAAAAAAATCATGATTCCTATTCTTTCTTTATCTGTATACAGACAAGAAATAAAAGTGAAAAGAGTCGATAAAATAAAGCTACTAGTAGAAATAACAGTAAAATTTATGATTTATTAATTATAATTTAATAAATATTAAAGTAAGTTATTAATTAAAATTAATTAGATAAAAAAATGTTGTTAATAAGTAAATAAGTGAATATAACTCAATAAACAAAATAAAATAACCAGGCATGATTACATTTAGTGTAAAAAGTGGCCTAAAATAGATTTTTTCTACACCCGTATTATAATAATGCACTTATATGCCCATAATCCGTTTCATAATGATACCCATTATGATACAGATTTTTCATTACGATACAGATTTTTCATTACGATACAGATTTTTCATTACGATACAGATTTTTCATTACGATACAGATTTTTAATCAATAGAAACCTACAATTTTTCAATCAAGCATGCTGTTTGACGTTTGTCCTAGGTTCCTATGTATTTGTTTTAGTTGTCAAAACGTATTAAATTTTGGTAGATAACTAAACTTCGTTAATTATAATATTAAAATGTCTGATATCAGCGATATAGAAGACTCCTCCACACATATCGGAGAAAGCAGAAAATACAGTACAAAATATTTTGCCGCAAAAATCTAGGGAAATACCAATACCCGAAGTAATACCATTAATTACAATTTTGTAGAATTTTTTATAGAAATACACGAGTAATTATTGTTATTGTGTTCAATACCAATATAAATATAATATTTATAGTTCTTGATTATTTATCGGGTGTAGAAAAAATAGCGTATGCAACTCTCATGTAATGGTTATTACATGATCGTTGCATAATATACTATTCATTGATGAATTTAGAACTCCCAATTTTATATATTTATATATACCTCCTACTATCAAAATATTATCTCCAAATAATTTTATTCAGTTATTATTAAACATAAATAATATTACAACACAACCAAACCATATTTTTCTTTTATACGAATAATAAATATTGATAGTTTCCGTTAATACTCAGATAAAATGTTCATCATTTTTAGAAATTTATTTATCAAATCGTTAATATGTAATCGTATTATTATCAATATTAAATGTTTATTATGAAATATGAAAGTATAATATAAACCAATAATAAATTTAATTAGGAATATCAATATAAATTTATTGACATCCGTTTCATCAAATTTTTTTAAATAGTTACTTAAGTCTAAAATTTAACTTGGGGTCGAAATGGGTTTCCCAGTTATTGAAAAAGAATTTACAAAGTGCTTAGTTACCTACGCGTGTTAATAGCATAATCATATATTTCTGCAGTTTATGAAAAAGTAATCGGGTAAGTACCGTTTTAAAAGTATTTTTTGAAATTACTTTAGAAAAGTTGTTACCTAAAATTATAAATGTTCAGTTTTCTTTGTTTTCGTTATTTTACGCTGTTTGGTAACTAATACAAATTTTCTATATTACGTATTCACTATATTCAAGTTTATCAATGAGTAAAAGGTCATGAATATACCTAAAGAACATGCAGTGCCTAGTGTGATAAAAATAAGTCTGTGTGCAATTTTAACAGCTTTATTATTGTTTTGTTAAGTAGTTTCTTAAACATATTTTTTTTTTTTAATTTGAAGGTTTACTGTTATGAAGGCAGACACGAAAAAAATTACAGACCATAGAGTTTGAACTAACTAAAGTTTTATTTATTCCATCTCTATCAAATCAACACTTACCGATGCGTCTCATATGTGTAAAAGTATTCAGTAACGATGCTATGAAGAATGGAAGACCACTTATCAAGAGTACATGCTGACAAAAAAAGTAAGACCTTAGCCCTTGTCATTCTTTCAAGCACTTAAAGAACAACCAGAGAAAGAGCCATCTTTAAGATCGATGTTTGCGTCATCATCTATGCAAGACGGCGATGGTTTATGAGCGTACTTTACTAATAGCGAAGTCGGGGAAACCCCACACAATTGGAGAGCAGTTTATTTTACCAGCCATTGTCGATGTCCTGATTTAGGCGAATAGCAATGATTTCCAAACTGTTTGAGAAGACCTTAAAAATTTGAAGACCTTTCAGTGCGATTTTTAGGTTTTTAGGAAATACCAACAAAACTAAAAGTATTCTGAAAATTTTTAAACGGAATTTAAGAAAATACATTACGCGTCATTCTGTATTAAATCTGTGAAATTTGTTGCTTTTTGTCTCAATAAATATTTAGTAGCTTTTAAATGGAATGATTTCCCGCCTCTTTTAAAATGTCAGTTAGAGTGTTACCTTATTGTTGTAGAAATTTAAAGCTCTCAATATTCTCGAGACACATAGTATCGCGAAAATATTATATAAGAAAATCCTCACAATATGTTTGCTTTCGTGAGAGAGATCCGGTTTGCTCTTGATTTACAGACTTATTGGCATATTGACGGTACAAGATATAATCCCCATCTGAATTTAAAAATTGGCCTTTTTACTTTGCCATTGCGCGTGATTTTTCTATTCAACGTTAATCTATGTCTCACGACAATGATGTCCGCAATCTTGGATCGCTTAGCCGAGTCCCAAACCACTTATCCAAATTGTATTTCTCAACACTGACAGGTGGTGCCATCTCGTGGCGATTTTTGGTACAAGTGAGCCAAAACAAACTTTGTATATCTATAGATTTTTGTTTTTGATGGCAATAAAATAATACACATTTTCTGTCGTCCGGTTTTGATACTTTCGGTTTAGGGATTTCTGCCACGTGACCGGATATTTGTGTTCCTCGATGAAAATCGGTATAAACGCGTTTATTATGTCAGCTAAAGGGTTGATATGCATAAAATTGTAACTTTAATTGGTGTAAAATCGGAACCAAAAGTAGAAAACTAATTTAATTGCTCTAAAATGTTTGCATAATTCTCAATTATTAAGAGTATTGCCCTTTTAAACATTTTTTATTCAGTAGTTTCACTCCATTCACCATAAATTAAACTATTTTGACACGTTTTTATTCTCAGATAAAAGTCAAGTAAACATTTTTTTAATCTGCGACGGTTTATTTTCATTAATTTTTCATATCTATCCTCCTGGATACGTTTCTGCATGTCTCATTTCAAAAATCGCGCGACTATATAGTATAATTTAACAACGTAACCTTTGAAAAGTTTGTAATCTTCTAAGTGTTCACTGCGCGCGTTAATTCCTTTATCAAACGTTATCAATTCGCGGTTTCTAGATAGTGCTCGCCCCGTAGATGATTGTCAAGATAAAGAAAATACAAAAAAATCCCGATAAAATATAGTTCTATAACAAAAGTGTCGTTTCTTCTCAAAAATCGTGTGTGTCAAGTGAAAATAAATAGGATAAAAGTTACAAACTTGAAAAGAAAAAATGCCGACCAATTTCTCAGCCGTTCAAAAATTGCAAGTAGGTGTCTGATATTTAGGTAGTAGTTTTATCATTATATTCATTAAAAAGATGATAGAGGATGTTTGTTATTATATAATTTTTAAATTAAACTTGCTGTCGAGAAATAATAGACAATTTTGTGGTAAAAATTAAAAACGTATTGTTTTCGTGAAAACAAGTAAAAAATGTGTATCAATGAACTATTTACAATTTTTGTTTATTAATATTCCACGAAACATTAAGATCATATTAACATATAAAAATTGTAAAATATGTCCAAACCGCTTCGTATAATATTAATTAATTATCTATTTTAATTATTCTGCAAGCTTTTCATTTTAAATACGAACGAACGCCTTTAAAGGAATTTTACATAATACATACATACAATACATATATAATACATAGTTTTGGTTTTAAACTAATGGGATATTAGTTTATGCGTTCACGATACTTGAAACTATTAGAGTTTACAAAATAGAATACTCTATAGTACCGTTTTGCAACCTTTGGGGTGATCCTCCTCCTGGGGGGGCGACATAACTCTACGTGGGAGGCACAGCACATCAAAATGAAAAAAAAACTATAAAAAAAAAATTTAATTCACAAAACGGTACTGCCAAATATAACTAATATTAAACTCATAATTACTAAATTAAAAGTAGCATTAATAATTATTAGTAACTACCTCGGGCCTGTCTCGGATAGCAAAGTTTTTCAAAAGAAGGTTTTTATTACAAATAGCCACTCTTAGTTCTTTGTCTATAATCAGTCGAGACCTATATTTTGTCTTTGAAGCAGCCACTGCAGAAAATCCGGCTTCGCAATAATATAGCAATAATATACGAAATGTTCTTGTTTTCAGTGGAGAAAAAGCATCATCCACTCCCGCCCAAAATTCAAAAAGAGATTTATTACTAAATTCTCTCTGGATTTCGTCGCTTGCAGTAAATTCTATGAAGATTTCTTCTTCTGCAGCTGAGAGACTTTCGAGAGTAGTTCGAAATGAATCCCTAACCCACTCGTAACTTGCTACCAATTTGTCGTCATCAAGAAAATATTTTTTAAAATTCTGTACCAACATAGCTAAATGATTTTCTATTGTTATAAAAACAACTTTCACATACTGTTCTTCTTCCTTGTATATTTTGACAAACTCATTCACATTTGCAAACATTTCTAGTTTTTTTTGTTACACATTTCTGCTCCACAACTCCAACTGTCTACAAAAAGCACTAACTTTATTACTGATATCCAACATAATGTGTGTTTGCTCCTTGGAGTTGTAGATTCAAGGTATTTAATTTCTTGAATATGTCGACCAAGTAACTCAATTTCGTCACAAACTAAGCATCTCAAAACTTTTCGGCTTCCGGGCGGGATTCCTTTTGTAGAAAGGTGGCAATTTCCTCTTTTAACTCATAAACACGTAAAAATTTCCCACACGATAACCATCTGGCATCACAATAAAATAGCAACGTCATTTAAAAGAGGTATGGATTGCAATTATTTGGCAAAATTATCTCCAAACATAGTTTCTAACATCTTCATCGCATCTGACAGAATAAGGTGTTCACCAATGGTGTGAGTCTTTTTACATCTCGCTATTTTATATGATACTTTATAAGAGGCAAGTAAAGCTTTTTCGTTCACAGACTAAAGTTTTTTTGAAGATTGATGTTTGCTCTCCATTTAATCATTTAATTAATTTTAATTCAAAGAATTCTCGGGGCTTGTTAACGTACTCACTATGAAGTGTTTGCAAAAGGCGTCTATATTTGTTAGGTTTCTTGCCATTTGCTGCCAAATTTTTTAAAAAAATGACGCTAAGGTCTTTCTTCTTCATTTATTTTAGTAGTGGTAAATCCAAAATTTAGGTATTCTTGCGAATATTTTCCTGATTTTATCTTCGAAGCCATGGTCCACTGTTCACTTATTGATGCTTCACTATTATTAAAATTCTATCCATAGTTCTGTATAAATTTAATGTCGTAAATTTTAGTAACTATATTATCCGGCAATACGGTACAGTCACACAAATTTAGCACCGCGACTCGACTAAAACCGACCGGAACATCCAACAGCTGCAGAATTTATACACGTTTGCTCCGCTGTCGAGCAGATCTTCCAAACTATTCCAAACAATTCACGGTCAAAACTTTTCGTAGCGACGGTAAGCCGCGAGAATGTTCGATATACGTCGATTCAATAAATTCACCTATTCTTGTTAATTTTGGTCTGTAATTAAGTTCCACATTAGGGCTCTAGGCCTAGAGTCTAGGGCACTAACAATGCGCTGCACTAAGAGGATTAGGGTCAAAATTTTCAACGTATAATATACGTCGTATTATAAGAAAAATAAATGTAGGGGGGCGCCATAAAAATTGTTATTGGAAATTGTGTCTCGAATACTGAAAGATTGAGAAACGCTGCTCTATAGTTATAGTCAACGTATTTTGTGTGATATATGGCTTTGTTTTATTTATTTAAATCTACGTTTTGGTCACATTTGAGTTGAATTATTTTCCTTTCCGTCTTTCAATAATATTTGTAAATGAAGTTAGCAACAAATATCTTTACTCGTTTTAAATATTTCTCAATCAGTTTAAAAAAAAAAGAAAATTTCCGTATACACCAAATAAAAAAAATAAATAAATAACCCTATAGTTAGAATTAAATTTATTTTAATGATTTGATTAGCTGATAAGATTCGTTACAGTCCTGTACTTGTAGAACGGAAGAAAAGTTGATAAAAAATATATATGTGGTTCCATTCACTGGTAATTTCGTTTTTTATTGTTTCGCATAAAATGAGTTTTGATTGTGAATGGAATTTTATTTACAAAAATATTTCATTTTACTTTATTTTTTATATCACAGGTATGTTAACAATGATATTCTTTTATATAAAGTAACTAGATATATCTGTGTTGCAAAGGAATTCGATATTTTGTGCAACATCTGCAAAATCATCGAGAATATACAAAATATGACTCGTTGGTACACCGATATATTCTTTTTTTTATTTCAAAATTTCTTTTAAATACAAATTATTTTCAAAATAACTACATAATATTGATATATTTCTTATTTGAGAATTAAAAAACTGTAATTATATTTTTTTAAACAAATATAATTTGTTTACAAACAGATTTATGATATTTACGTTAAGTTTATAAATAAATCTGATAAAAAATCCCAATATTTAAATAACTTTGATAATTTTATCAACCAAAAAACGAATTTAATTTTGAAAGAGTAAAACCAAATTTGGTAGATTTTCACACTTTTATTTTAAAAATAAAAATTTTTAAACAAACACTAACATGACATATGTTTCGAAGTACAACTTCTTTTTCAAATGTGACTATTTACAATTCGGTATCCAATATATATACAAAATAATTTAACAAAACAAAGTACTTAAGAAAACATCAATAACATTTGTTTTCTTAAGTACTTTGTTTTGTTAAATTATTTTGTATATATATTGGATACCGAATTGTAAATAGTCACATTTGAAAAAGAAGTTGTACTTCGAAACATATGTCATGTTAGTGTTTGTTTAAAAAAAAAAAAAATTTTTATTTTTAAAATAAAAGTGTGAAAATCTACCAAATTTGGTTTTACTCTTTCAAAATTAAATGGATTTTCATCAAGTAAAGGCCGAAACAATAAATAATTTAAACGAATTTAACTTAGAAAATAATAGCGTCACACAAATTATTCTTCTATTGCAGAATTTTTCCAATTTTAGTCAGAATATTTTTTCTACATATTTTTCTTGAAGGTTTTGTAGTATTACATACGATGTCAATTTGAAAACGGACATTTAATATTGCCTTTACCAGAGTGATAGTATGAAATTGTAGCGAAACACGTCAATTTACATATCAAGCGAGACAATTGTTGAAGCATTTATTGTCGTATTACTTTCAACCCCCTGACCCCCAGGGTACCTACCCCTTAAATTTTAAATGACAACCCCTACTTCTTTTACCATGCCAAAATTAAATAAAATATTCAGTGCCAAGATTACAGAAGAATATTTAAATTAATTATCAAGTGCAGTAGAAGAGTGATTACGCACGAGGGTGTAACTTTTCCACTTAATAAAATTTGAAAGGATAGTCTTTGAAATTAAGATAATCGATCATTCAGATTACACAATGACACTAATGATGTATGTATATATATTAAAAACTACATCATGAAAAGCGATTGAGCTTATAATCGTAGAGAAATTTTGATAATAGACGACAATAGTGCTATTCGTCGTCTGATTTACATATGGGTGAGCTATCTACATAACTATATATCATTGGATCTTTCCCTTATAGTACACAAGCCCAATCTTAATTTTATACATTTTAGGGGACACTCTTTGAGATAACAACCATGAGATTGCACATAGCTTTATATTAGGTTAAAAATAATTTAGTTCTTATTAAAATAAATAATTATTTATCGATGAGCGCAAATAGATAATTTTGCAAAGAGAAATATTATCAAAAAGAAAGTTCCAAAGACAGCAACAAAGTCAGTCAACTTGCCGACACCGGCAATTGAAATAACTTAACCCATCACCTCTATTTAATTTCATTATAGGCACATACGGGGTGATTTGCAACGGCAAAATAAGCGGTACAAATTCTAGAACATAATAACTACAAAATGTAATGTATGCAAAGTATCTGCCACGTGGTTAGGATAAAGCTTCTTTGAATTGTTTGAATTTTAGGAAGCGAGCAGTCAGAATTTGTAACAGGTATGGATTTAGTACTCATTTTTGTATTATTGTGTGTGCATTGTGCAAGGTTATAATTCGTAGTTCTAGTTAAATTTTCTTAAATATATACTGTTTAATTTTATTAATTTTCTAAGTGTTCACGAGTTATTGCAATGTATATTTTTTTTATAAAATTGATTAGATACTCGTTTTATAAAATCCTTAATGGTATTCTAAGTATTTACTTTAACTTGAATATAATATAATGTTGTTTTTTTTAAACTCTATTTCATATGGTCGTTATATTCATAATCTCCTTATTCTTAACATTTTTCTTACTCTCCTCCTATACTTTTTAGTTTTACATATTTCAATTTTTGGTAAACTATACAAGCAATCCAATATTTTCTTTTTCTACTATCCAAATTTTTCATTTTTGTATGTATGTCTTACACAGTGTTTCTTTCCTGATATTATTTAATCAATACGCCACCTAAAAACCCTTTTTACTTTCCTATCTGTATACAGATATAAGGAAAGTATAGGAATCATGATTTTTTTCGACCTCGAGTTTTCGACGGATTTTTACGTTTTGAGGTCCTCTGAATCCGTTTTGACTATTTTCGCGATGATGTCTGTGTGTGTGTGTGTGTGTGTGTGTGTGTGTGTGTGTGTGTGTGTGTGTGTGTGTGTGTGTGTGTGTGTGTGTGTGTGTGTGTGTGTGTGTGTGTGTGTGTGTGTGTGTGTGTGTGTGTGTGTGTGTGTGTGTGTGTGTGTGTGTGTGTGTGTGTGTGTGTGTGTGTGTGTGTGTGTGTGTGTGTGTGTGTGTGTGTGTGTGTGTGTGTGTGTGTGTGTGTGTGTGTGTGTGTGTGTGTGTGTGTGTGTGTGTGTGTGTGTGTGTGTGTGTGTGTGTGTGTGTGTGTGTGTGTGTGTGTGTGTGTGTGTGTGTGTGTGTGTGTGTGTGTGTGTGTGTGTGTGTGTGTGTGTGTGTGTGTGTGTGTGTGTGTGTGTGTGTGTGTGTGTGTGTGTGTGTGTGTGTGTGTGTGTGTGTGTGTGTGTGTGTGTGTGTGTGTGTGTGTGTGTGTGTGTGTGTGTGTGTGTGTGTGTGTGTGTGTGTGTGTGTGTGTGTGTGTGTGTGTGTGTGTGTGTGTGTGTGTGTGTGTGTGTGTGTGTGTGTGTGTGTGTGTGTGTGTGTGTGTGTGTGTGTGTGTGTGTGTGTGTGTGTGTGTGTGTGTGTGTGTGTGTGTGTGTGTGTGTGTGTGTGTGTGTGTGTGTGTGTGTGTGTGTGTGTGTGTGTGTGTGTGTGTGTGTGTGTGTGTGTGTGTGTGTGTGTGTGTGTGTGTGTGTGTGTGTGTGTGTGTGTGTGTGTGTGTGTGTGTGTGTGTGTGTGTGTGTGTGTGTGTGTGTGTGTGTGTGTGTGTGTGTGTGTGTGTGTGTGTGTGTGTGTG